CTGGACACTATGGGACAATTTAGCACGGCCAATCCACCCTAACCTGCTCATCCCTGGGTACTATGGGACAATTTGGCATGACCAATCCACCCTAGCATGTGGGAGGAAACCAGAGCACCCAGAGGAAACCCACGCAGACACGGGGAGAATGTGCAAACTCCATGCAGACAGTCACCCGCGAGTGGAATCGAACCTGGGCCCCTGGCGCCTTGAGGCAGCGGTGCTAACCACTGAGCCACCGTGTCGCCCATGTTGTGCAGGTGTAAGGGAGGTGTGGACATCAAGATGAGTTACTTGCCTTTCCCAGTGATGCTGCATCTCGTCACTGGCTGATCCAAAGTTGGAGCTCTGAGGATAGCTCTCGGGCCCCAGTCAGTGACAACACCTGATCCGGGAAGTGTTTTGACCTCAGGGTCCTTGCTGGTTGACTCTCTGACGACCCTCGAAGATGGCGGATTTTACAAACGAAGGTTATCGAGGAGTTAAGGGGGATTCCTTTCCTCACAGCGTCCGAATGATCACCTTAATCCCTTTTGTTCTGCAGCTGACAATCAAGGCCCTCCACGTGCGGCCCGAGTGTGGACTTGGTGGTCCCGAATGCTGCCTCCGAGTCTCCCTCATGCCACTACGCCTCAACATTGACCAGGTTAGTAGCTGGACTGTGTTGAAAATCCCCAACCCGTCATCAATGCCATTCTCCATTGAGTTGTTTCTCTCTCTCACACTCACTACATCGCACCTGTCAACTTCGCTCCGTCCCTCCATCCCACATCGTGTCATCCCAACAGAGCTTTGTGAACCTACGGTTCAGAAACTGATGGGAATGCAGCCCCCAGTAACTCGCTTTTGGTGCTCTGGTCTTCTCATCGTTCCTTCTCTTCCTTCCTAGGATGCCTTATTCTTCCTGAAGGGTTTCTTCACGAGCTTTGCGACCGGAATCAATCCCATTGTTCCCGTTGAAACGGCGATGGAAGGTGAGATTCCAGGCAGGCCAATGCTTGTTCAGTCGAGGTGGCGGCTAGGGTCCTAAAGGGGGCTGCAGTGGGTTTTGAGGGCTGTTGTCTGTCAGGCGAGAACTGAGGCGTCAGCCTGTCCTTGTCAGCTGGCCATACATATGTACGTCTGAAGGTCACTCCTGGGAGATGAGGTCATCCCCAGCTTCCTGCGTCCCCGTAGAATAATAACAGATGGCGCATTCGGTTGCCTCTCTTGCTCCAGGATTGATCTTGCTGCGGTGGCACATTTGCTTAATCCAACTCTGTGGCAACGTTTGGCACTTGGCGTTAGAAATAGGAGCATGCGGTGCACTCGGGGTGGGCAGAGTGGCCTCCTCCTGTGCAAAAACATGCGATTTTGAGCTTCCTCCACCATTCAGTAAGGTTCGTGGCTGACCTGAAGCCCACCTCCATCCCACCTTGCCGCCCCCTCGCGTCCAAATCCCAGGACTGGGAATGCGGGGCGGCTGAAAATTGGCAAGGAATTCCGAAGGTTCTCAGCGCGGAAATCCCTCCTCGCCTCGGTGAAGAAAAACACCTCATGTTGCACAACAGGAGGACACTCC